TTTGCAGGTGGTATTTGTTAAATGGATGCATATTGGAGCCCGGAGTGTGCTTACGCTTACGACTCATATTATGAAATGAAAAGGAGGGAAATAAGAGACCAACATCGTGAGGCTAGGATGTCGGCTATGATCTAAGAAGCCATTGAGAGTGTTCGTCAAGCTTTAAAGAGACCATGTCGTCTATGTCATACCACACGACACGTCACCGATGATTGTCCATTTCTGTTCGAGAGGTATGGTGCACGTAGAGCTACCGAGAGAGATTGGTATAGACAAGACGATTGGGCGTATTCAAATTTTGATGGGAACTATTATGTTTGGGGCGATCGTGGAAATTCATTCTATGGAAATCCACAGTATTCTCGATCGTATGAGCCTATTTATGAGCACGATGACCCTCAATTCCGCTATGGAGGCTCACGATATTTTTCAGAACCTTCGCTTGAACAAGAGACTAGTCCGTCACTGATGGAGTTATTTGAGGAGTGTCAAAATTCTTTGATGGCTAGTAGCAAAGCGATTGGTGATGTATTGAGCGAATTGGGTGCCCGAGCTAAGAGTCGGCTATTATCTCAAGCCGAAGCTATCCAAGATGATGTCAGAGACCTGAGGATGTGCAGCGACACAGAGCCTGAGGTGCTGGACGAACGTAATTTTGAGTCGAACGGCGAAGAGAATGAAGAAGAAGGCAATGAGGAGCAAATTTTAGCTGATATCGGCCCCCCCGATAAAAACCTGGTAGCATTTACTACTGCTATCGGGGGCCCCGATAACAGCCTGCTTGATGGTGAAAATGACGTAAAAGCTCCGACAATTGCCCCGAGCATGATCGAAATTTCATCTCTTCTATCTGGGATCAAACAACCAGCAATCGAGCACGCTGAAAACCAAGACCCTTACATCCTTGAGGTGGTTGAGATTTTTCCTCTTATTCATGATCCCGGGTTAATCTTTTACCATGATCATTTGCCACCGAGAAGAAAAGATCCGGTGAAGCACCCAACACCGAACAACAGGATTCTTCACACGCATGGAGCTGCAAGGTTTGTGCCTCCTTTGAGGCCACCTATGAAGCCACCATGGACCGCTTGAAGAAAGCGGAGAATAAGTCGAGCCAACGACAATAAAAAAAGGCGCTTGTTGGGAGGCAACCCAATGGTGTGCAAAGCGACTACTTCTCTTGGATAAGGTGAACTCTTTTCTTTTACCTCCTATTTTGCTTTCTTATTTATGCAAACTCTAAGTTTGGGGAGGCTTGTTAGTGTTAGAGGTTTATATGGTGTATTATTATATATTCTCTTGATTTATTTGAGTAGGAGTTACTTGTATGTGGAAGCTTGCGATGATGATATGAGGGTTTGTTTGAATATTTTGTGCTAGTTTAAATAACTTGAGTTGATTATATTTGGTTAAACATCTTAAGGTGTTGTTGTTTTGGGATCAAGAGCATGAGAGTTGATATTTTTGTGATTTATTTATGGTGAGTTGATTTTGACTCGAATTGTGTTGTTGAGATGTACTTGTGATTATCTTGATCAATGTTGACTATGTTTGGTGACTTGATGTTGAAAGTCGGTATTTGACGTCTCTTAGTTGAAAATAATGGAATTATGTGGAAGGAGGAAAAAATAATTGATGGAGTTGAAAAGCCTTTGGCAAAAAAAAAAAAAA